CAAGACTTTTCCGTTCATCTCGATCCGTTCTACCTTCTCAAAAATTTTGTCGGATATGGAAAGACTCACCCTGTATATATTTATTCTTAATTTTCAAGAAAATAACCACGACAACAATAGCCGCGCCGGTCTCTTCATTTTATCGTGACATACCTTAGCTTCACTTCGTGAAGACTTAGCGCCGGCTTTTCCAACCTCTTGGTAAGTTAACTAATAGTTAAATTACACGTTTATCTTTATATCTCTAATTCGAAGGTAAAACAAAGACGATTTAACTATTAACTAACTCGTAGTAATTTTCACATCATCATTGATAAGCGAATAGCAGTGCTGTAGTTCGACAGGAATTGAACGTTTGCCGCCTCTGAAACGAGCCTGAAGCATCGCGTACATTCGTGATATATGCACGATCGTTAGAGGATTCTGAACGCTTATTTAATCGTTTTCACCTTGACGGCTAGTTATCGGTTATCGCGGTGAGTTTGTTGACCGCGAGAAAGTTTTGCGTCACGCCGAACGAGTGTGCCTCCTCTCGCACCTTTGGCGTAATTATACGCGAGTTTCCATCAATCATGATTGCAACGAAGACGTCTACTGCGCTGCAATCCAGATGAAGCGGTGGTAAAGAAAGTAACTTCCATTCCAGATCGTTCGCCGCTGCTATCGGCGATCCCACGATACATTCTTGTTGCTATTTGATGATGTAATGTACCGGTAATTATTGTAACTAAAGATTTATATCTTATATGGCATTTAAAAACCAGGGTTAGAAAAGTTATTTTATGAAAGTATCTAGTTACAGCTTTTTCGATAAAAATGTAACTGGTTACAGTTACAAGTTGCCAATTCTGAAAACTAGCGCGTTACAGTTACAGTTACTCAAAAAGTAACGAATCGTTACTTTGCAGTTACTTCCTTGCAATGAAAATAAAAATATCAAGTCTGCATTTCAATTGTAAAGTGTCGATAAAGGCGTTTGTGCGCAAATGCAAGGCGTAATGCGATCTGTGGAGGTTTAAAAAATATATAAAGTACACTGAGAGAAAAAAAAATAGTCATTTTTGGAGCCAACCATATTTTGGTTTATGACAACCAATATTGTGGTTATGAGAACTATCACATTGTTAGGTCAACCATAATTTACGTTGGAGGAATTATAAAAAATATGGTTGGCTCCAAAAATGACTATTTTTTTTGTAAAAATGACTATTTTTTCTCTCAGTGTAACTGTTAATGTAACTATTAAATTAGTTACTAGTCAGCGAAAAAATGTAACTGAGTTGAGTTACAGTTACAGATCGAGAGAAAGTAACGAAGTTAAATTAGAGTTACCAAAAAAAAAGTGTAACTGTAACTGTAACTTCGTTACAAGTAACGAGTTACCTGTCAACCGTGTTAAAAATCTTATTCCACACTTTGCGGTACAAAGCAAATTTAATTTACACCCGCGAAGGATTACAATGGTCCGGATGTAATAGTCCGTTTTTATATGTAAAATTATATTTGCGTTATTTGATGACATTCGTATGCGAGCTCCAGATTTAAGCCCGCTCGCGGAATGCTCGCGATTGCAACGCAGAAAATAACACTTGCCATAAACAAGGCATTTGTCATAATTGCGCTCCATATTCTCGAACTTTCACCGTGCGGAGAATCAGTCATTTGCTGATGGCATGTAATAACAAGTCGATCGCGTTCGCTTAGGAAAGCCTTCAGTTTTTTTTTCTTCACTGTGAACAGAGTCGAATTATCGGAATGTTTTTGCGTGTCGATCTCGATATTATCCTGTGAACGAGCGAATGGAATCAACACGCTATAATTAAGATGCGTGGTGAATTTGCATACGATCACGCGTTGTTTTCGCGAGCGATGTGCGGTTGCGGGGAAAAAAGGAATCTAATTGCGCTTTTTGCTACAACTGCAAACAGCTCTACGATTCGTGATTGCATCGCGGATAAATCGACAAGGCGTGACTCAATCTCGGATCGTTTGCAAAGCAAACAGTACAATTGACGAAAGTGCAATGCTGTAGGGCAGTAGAATATTTCGCCGCTACAGCGATGTTCTATTTTGTCCAGGGTTGGGAAGTTACTCGTAACGAAGTTACAGTCACGGTTACTTTTTTTCGGTAACTCTAACTTAAGTTCGTTACTTTCTCTACATCTGTAACTTTTCTATAACTAGTAACTAATTTAATGGTTACATTAATAGTTACTTTATATATTTTTTTAATCTCCACAGATCGCATTAGGCCTCGCATTTGCGCACAAACGCTTTTATCGACGCTTTACAAATCAAATGCAGACTTGATATTTTTATTTTCATTGCAAGAAAGTAACTGCAAAGAAACGATTCGTTACATTTCGAGTAACTGTAACTGTAACGCGTTACTTTTCAGAATGGGTAACTTGTAACTGTCACTAGTTACATTTTTAGCGAAAAAACTGTAACTGTAACTAGTTACTTTTATAAAGTAACTTTCCCAATCCTGATTTTCTTCCACGAAACAATGTGGGCGTAGGTTAAAAATTTTTACCTAGAATTCACATTGTGTTTACTTGGTATTTATGGTATTTCATTGTATGATATTAGATAATATCATGTAATGCTCGGACATTTCAAGTTTATTACTAATTCACGACGCAATAAACGTCCATTTATTTATTTACGCGCGTCAGTTTAACCACCAGGTGTTGACTATACTTTACAAAAATGAGTCCCGACAGATAAAAAATGATGCAAAATTCTACCGCACTGTGTGCATTGCGCAACACTGATCCGACTGGTTCTTGAATTGACAAAAATCGAAGTGACAGTCTATGGCTTTTTCGATAAGTCCACCGGCTGCGTGTTGGGGAGCGAACGAATTCTCGAAACGACGTCAACGCGAGACTGCTCGGACTAGTTTTATTGCAAAAATTGAAAATGCAGGATTGTCGAACAGTTAACGTGTGTCCAATCGAATTTCACACATGATTTAACAACGCAGAATTCAGTAGATCTTAGATTTATTGATTCTACTTTTATTAAGGAAGTATTGAACGGACCATCTTGAGAAAATAAAAACTGGATACAGCCTGAATTCTAATAGATACATAGGTAATTGGCTTTCTCAATGTGAAAGAAAGTTTTATCATTTGCAAATGAAAAGTTTTGAGTATGTCAAACGTTTGCAAAGTTCGCACGCACAGCTCGAAAGGTTAAGGTGGTTGTTTCGCGACAGTGATGCTCAAAAGTTTCCAGACAGGAACCAGCACTCAATTATTACAATAATATATCTTGATGCAATATTGTTCTAAAGAATACACTTACGATTAATACATAATATAAAATAGATTCGAAAGATTATAGTTTGAGGCGCTGTTGCCACAACTTATAGCGTAGTTAACATTTTATAGAATTAAAGTTAAATTTTTTAATTTAAAATGATCTGCTGTTTGATATATTTAATAAATACTTAAACGAAACAAAAGCATGTTTCAATTTGTTTATTATTTCTTAAATAATTAGGTTAATATTTTTATTACTTATATATGTATAATAAAAATAAGCTATTAAGAACCACCTAATGAATAATTTTCTTGAGTGAAGCAATATCTTTTTGGATTAAATCTTTTTTATCAGTGTAGTAATTGTGATATGTTATGGGATTCTAGTTCAACTAAAAATGTAAAATCTCTGCGAGAGAAGCGGTGAGAGAAATTGATCGATAATAATACCGCGATTAAGAACGTTACAATCGATGGTAAATTAACCTTCGTATAAGTTAAACGAATAAATATACAAGAATACTAAATTGTTTCTCATTATATCAATTTATATTTTAAATAATAAATAACTGAGCTTTCTTTGCCACGTCCAGTGACTACTGTTACTCGATTAAATGGTGACGAGAAGAGAAAATACCGAAGTAATCCGCGTTATTAAAATGAAAGGAAGAAAGGAAATAATCTACATTGAAAGCCTAGCTTTCTTCAAGCGGTTTTTCAAATCGTTTAATCCCGCGATGAATCATTCAGAAGTACTGTTCGCGACAAGTTGCGTTGGTAATTTTACGAATTATGAGCCTCTATTCATGAACGCTTATGAATAGAACCCGCGATCGTTCGACGCGAGACTCGCGGTAGCACCTGAAAAAAGAAACGTAACCCAGCGCCAACAGCAGGGAATCGTTCTTTACAGTTAGGTGCAGTGGGACCAAGCGAGGAGGAGGCAACAAGTTCCTCTCTCTTGGTGGGAGATGACGAAGTTACCTCGAAGAGAGGAAAGAGCGGTGCCACCTCGCGGCGGCAACGACTTCTCTCTTCCATCTCCCTGTTCAGGAGGAGACTTCCTTTTGCATCTCGGGAGAGAGAACTAACGGGGAATGCACAGATGCACGCCCGAGGAAAAAGAATTCGGTCCCGTGCACGCTTTCTAGGTCGCGCTTACTTTTCAAGGAGGCGCGCGTCGTCTTCTCAGAGACGAAGCAACCGAAGATAAACGTTAATTTTTATGCCGATAACTGCGCTCCCATAAAAATCACATTTGTTCGGACCGAAACTTGATTCGGACTGAAATCAAAATTTATTTAAAGCTAGTTATAGAAGCCGAAGGATCATTCGACGACGCGAGTATTTCCGTTAACTCTCATTCAATATTCAAGAAATAGCAAAGCTCTCTGTTGTTAAAGTTTCCTGGAAATTTCCAAATTAACCATTCGACAATGACAGTAATTCGCGAACGACAAATACTAATTAAATTAAATAAAAACTTTTACATAGAAACAAATGTCTCGAACAGTGTCTCTAATAAAAAAAGAACCTTCCGCGAGGACCAGTGAACGTCGATCCGCCTCTCAAAAAGTGGGAGGCAAATCAAAATGAAGCGGGAAAAGTCGCGGGACTCAACGTCGGGAGTAGAAGAACCGCGAGGAAAGGTAAAAGGACGAGATCCGAGAGAGGTCTTCTCCGAAGAACAGCCGCGGAGCTGCATCCCTACCTCGGCGTCGAGCGAGAGCAGGTGAGCTCTCGGCGATCTGCACGAGAGCGGCGAGAGAGTCCCGGTCTGCCGCCTCCTGCGCTCGCACCGGTGGCACGCACCGGCCTCCGAGAGAGACTCGCGCGAGTTCGTTGGCCGACCGTCACCCGCACGCCCGTTTTCCCGGTCGCTCTCGCATTGCTGCTCTCCATCTGGGCGGCCGCCGGATTCTGGAAGCTGGGTCGGAAAAGGGCACCCGGACCTGAACGGCGGGTTCGACTCGCCTCGTTCCCTTCTCCGCCCGTCGGCCGGAGGAGAACCCGCGCGGGCATCGCGGGTTCCAGTCGAGAAATCGACCCGCGTCACCCAGCCCGCCGGCAGGTGCTAACTCGCGCGTGACTCCGGTGTTAGCTCGCAGTCATAGTCGCGCGCCCGCTCGCGCTGACCGGACGCGTTCGCCGAGCTGGTAAGAGTCGGTGGAAAACAGCATCGCGTGATCGTAGAAACTTGGAGGATTCTAGGCAATTCTGCCGCGTTAAAACTGCTGAAGACAACCGGAGGATTCTACCTGGAGACCTGTCCAAAGCTGAAGACCCTTTTCACGGACCAGGCCTGGCGTTCGACGGTCTGCGGGTTTTTTTTAGAGTGCGAAGATAATCGGAAGTGACCGCAACACTTGGGAAAGTTTTGAATACTCTTCGGCGGGATCAGTTTTGACGTTTGTGATATTTTGAGAAATCCTGGATACTCGCTGGATAGCGCGAGAAAAGGAATAGCTTGGAAAAAGTTAGACACCTAGGCGGACTAATTTTGAAATCTGAATCCAGTGAACTTTTCGCTTGAAATTTAAGGCAGGTCAGGGAGTTGGAAAGTTTCTGGCAGCAATTCGGAAGGATCTGAGATTTCTGTGGCCTGGTCTGGAGCGCGAGGAAGATCAGCCGTTCAACCGACGCGGAGCGGAAGTACCGTTGTTTCTGGTCGCGCTGGAGACTCGCGGATGAACGGCCTTGACGGCGCGATCCTCGGCTAGTCGCGGCTGGTCCGAACTAGGACAGCGAAGCGTGTGCTCCGATAGGCGGACAGGAAGATCGAAGAAAATCGTCTTCCTCGGGGAGGCCTCCTCTGAACGGCAACCGCGAACCACCTGAGGCTTTTGGGTTTACGACGTTACGCAGCAGCGAAATCCGGTTTTGCATGGGTGTATATGTAAGTGAACCGTACTCCATGAGTACCGTAATGTCGCGGGTACTATACTCCCGCGTGTTCTCGAGAGGCAACGTTTAGCACCGT